AGACTTATCCATGCGCGTTTAGTACTTGTACAGGGAAAGAAGGCACTTCAACTCATAGCAACGCCACTACTTGCAGATTCTGCATTTATGGAAGCGCGAAAGTTCATGTCGCTTGGAAGTTTTCGAATCACTGTACCGCCACTGCCTTGCGATGTCATTGTCTGAACGTTTTCTATCGACTGTGGAGCCTTGAAAGTTGGTTGTGGGTACTGGGAGATGGGTTGCGTGAGAGCAATGTAGTTTGTGGTCGGTGGAGCCTCAGCTCCTTGCGGTAGTGCAATCAACTGTATTGGAGTTCTTCGACGAAGTTTTTCAGACGCCACATCACTGCGACGGTCTAGCGAGCCTGTACGATAGCCTTCAGATGCTGGACTTGCTGACCGATCAAATGCTGTCATAAGTGGAAAGAAACTTTGTGCACCAGAACCGTATAGTCGATTTTGAGGAATGGGTTTTATCCCGCCTGAACCATCAGCCGTGTAGAGAGGTTGATAGGAGAAATGAGTACAAGGCGTGCCATTGAGTCCGTTGGCCGTTAGCAACTCACAACCACTCATGTTACTGGAAATTGCAGTATTTTGTAAACTGCCAGAATCACCGAGAACTAGAGCAGTATTGTTTGGGTATGTAACTGAATCAGAATAAATCACGGGTGAAGTCATCTTGGAAGCACTATTTAACGAATTGTACGGGGGTGCGCTATGATACGATGCCTCCATTCTCGGTAGTTTTTTGGGAGACTTGGAGCCAGACTTCTGGTTTCGAAAGCAAAGTACAAGAGTCATAATAGCAAGAAGGACGCATAGAAATGCAGATAATGCAAAAACCACTCTATATATGATTAGCTGGATGTAAAGACGCCTGTTTTCTTGCTTTGCTTCAGCAAGCAGAACTCTGTATTCCATAGTTGAGTTTGTTGCGTCTGATGAGGATAATGGTGCAGTTGATGTGACTGATTTGACCACAGATTCACAAGTTTTTCGATAGCAAAGAACACTTTGTGGAAGAATGTAGGTTTTTTCGGAGGGAGGAGGGACAATTTCAATCTTTGGAAGGCGTCCAGGTCGCAGCATAGCCAGCATGGTGTACTGGCCCAATCGATCAGCAAGGTAAAAGATTCTATCTTTAGTAGTTAGAGAAGGAGAAGTCTGAATCCCGTTAGATACTTTAACTGTTTGAAGGAGAGCATCGAGGGTTTCGAGATCAATCAATTGTGCAGTGTAGTCCTTATTTACGCGGTTTAATTCCTCCACAACATTCACCTTAAAATCTGATTGGGGACTCCTTGTTTCCCTGGCAGCCTCAATGAAACGTAATTCCAGACGGCTGCAAGCGGAGTAATGAGCATAAATATCCTGATGGGAGCCTTGTGGAATAGCTAACCAAGCATACAGATAAGTGCACCGGCCAAGTTGGCGTTTCTCGATGTCGCCGACTACACTGTACGCGTCACCAGGAAGGATAGGAGTGAGTTTTTCGGCCATGATCATAGCCGATAGGCTGAAAACAACATACAGAAAGAGCATAATGCAGCAATAAGAGTCTTTAGGTTAAAAGTCTAGGGTTTAGCAATGCGACATCCAAGTTACGCGCTATTACACCAGCCTGGTGGCAGCACACTGATGAACTCGCGGCCTGTAATGACGCCGAGGAGTGATTGGTCTACCTGTCTGACCAATCATAGTGGAAGGCGGATTCGCTTGCTCATGATTGGACCATAGGCATTGTACCTAAAGAGATCATGATGATTGCACTCCGCCGCATGTGGATTACATGCGACATTGAAACGTGTGCATTGTCGCGGCTTTAATATCACTCGATGATAGCACGTCCAAATGAATTGCGATGTAGAATATATGGAGCTCAGCGCACTGGATTAAATAATTTAATTTGACCAAGTAGGACACTGAGGTCTTATTTCTAATTTAAAATGATCCCCGAAGTTATTGCTTTATGCTCTCCTGGTTATATTTCCTGTAGAATGATGACATTAGCAAAATTTGGGATTTTTTTACAGGAAAGTAACAATTAGCAAAGAATCCCTAAAAGGCACTTGTTTAAGTAAGATTCGGGGCATAAGTGTATTTGCTTTTATAAGCGCAAATTCATTACCTCCCTTACAATGACTGACTGTTTCGGAATTATTAATGTACTCCACGTGCAGAATCGCAATTAGCAAAGGACTTCTCTTATGGTGATGAGGAAGGCGTGTAAACTTATAAAACTGCTATAAATTGTACCCTTAGTTATAGTATTGGGTTAGTCAAGTCAATTTACCTCCAAACATTCGCACAACATTTGTGACTAGGGTGCCTCCGTTCTCCTAAATCACACAGAATCTCAGTGCTACACTTTGCCAAATTTGTGCCGATCATAATTGGAAGGCATTTCTTCCACATACCGCAAACACATTAGAGTTCTCCTCCCAGTCCTCGTTGAAGGTGTTATAATGAAAATAAAGTTCTTAAAAATATCATGAAGTTGAGAGCCATTGGTTTGAATGAACGCATTGCATAAATACTACAAATTGCGCTTAAAATCATCTTGGAGCGATTGTGCATGTATATTTAGGAACGTACCGTCGACTACTATCTTTGTGGTGCCCATTTAAGACGTAGTGAAAGGCGTAGCACTAGGAGTTCACCCACAGCAAGGTAATTGACACTTGCTTGATCCGTGCTGGCTAGAAGAGAAGAGCCAACTTTAATAGTTAAGGGTCTAATTTTCAAACGCCTTACTCCGTAACGCTATGTCGATCTATGCTTTCAAAGAATGGGTTACTTACGTTTTGTCACTTTTACCAGATTCTTAAAACTTAATTCTTGGTATTTTGAAGAATGTGGATCTTGTTTGCAGCCAAACATTGAGACATCCCGACTTTGGAGTGGCCAACAAGCCCTGAGGCCTCACCCACAAAACTCACGAGAAAAGTACGAGAAAAAAGACGATGTACTTTACAAGACGAATTCAAAATACGCAAGGCGTTCAGGCACCTAAATCGCAGCCACCCGCCACAAAGCCCCAAACCATGAGCCCTAAAATTTATTACATTCTTAACCGATTTTGCCCATGGAGGTGTGGTAAATTAAATCTGGGGAACATTACTGTAATTCATACTCTGTAATGACCTTTTAGGGAGATTAAGCTGTAAGTTATGGCGATTTATATTTTAGCTTACACTGCTTAAAGCTAGGAGAGATTTTGCCAATCCTGCTAATATGTTATCGTAAATGCATAAAACTTTGCACGAAACACCTTAAAAGATTAAGGGCAGTTTTGATAATGATGTGCAACCCACGTATAGGGACGGTGAACATGACTGTTCAGGTAACATTCTTCTGTACTTGTGACAAAAGTTCTTATTCTAAGTTAGTGCGACATAATCCGCGCTGTCATAAACTTATCACTCACACACCCGCACAAACATGCACGCACAGACTGTTCTGTCTCGTCTAGCCTCCGCAGGCGCCGTGCGTGGATTGCATAATCTCTTCAGTGTAAATTAACTTGCCTGAAGGTGTTTTTGCCTGTCAGCCGGCATTCGCACGTTTTTTGCTCTTCATTTGCATAAGACGTTCGTCCCATTTGAAATCTTGATTAATGTTTTGAAGCCTGGGTTTCTACAACATAAAACAAGCATTTTAAGAACAAATAATGGAGAGGTAAATGGTAGTAGAACACCGAACAAGTTTAACAGTTTATTCTAAATTGTTAGTAATTAGATCTTGATACAGTGAAATTTTTCAAAAGAATCTCGCTAATGTGTGAGGTGCTGCAGGGACTTTTATAGACCTTTAAATTAAGATGGCTATAGTTTCTTCCATTTTCTTGCATAGAAGTTAAAAGTGTAGCATTGATGACTTTGGAATAATAATAGCAGTGGTTTATTTAAACTACTTACCGGCGTTGCCATGATGATATGATTATGTATAAGTTGGTCGAAATTTCGTTGAGCCTTAATGTTCTGTATTGGTTGTCTAGGGTCTTTCGAAAGTGCATTTTTCGTTCTGAATCCAATAAGTTTGCCCATACATTTGGAAGACAGATTGTACTGATGATTAGCACCGATGTTGACTA